TAGTGGGGTACTGTATAGTAGTATCCATGAGGTACCGGGTACGTGAGGGCTCAACTGAGAACAAATGAAAGCATCTGCTTGTTACTATCATATGCACTTTACATTATACACTGTTATATCATATGAAGCCTTATTTGAAAAAGCTGTATACGAATATATAAAATTGACTCTCACTTGTTCGATACTTTTGGTATCAGGAACGGCATAGACATTTGAACACCTGAGGGGAGAGAGGAGGGGGAAAGAACTTGTCCCATTTATTACCTTTTCACGATCCTGATCATCCAATAACTGCGACTCGCCTCTCAGGCTCAATTCAATGTCAAGTGATTGTTGTCTGTTGGTGAAGTGAAGAAAGCCGGATAAGTCAAGGTTTGGAGGATCAAATAAAACCAGCATTATAAAACGATTCATGCAAGGTATACTTACTTCCTTTTTGCGTCTTCATAGGATAGCCACTAAGATCCAAAAAAGATAAGAAGGTCGTTGTGTAGGGAAAGGAACACAAAAGAAAAGGAGAAATTATTTAGTGGGCTACCTGTGGCAAACCAGTCGTAAATAGCGCAGCGCACTGATTCTAAAAATAGCTTAAAGATTCGGAAAAACATTGCATTCTGTTTAACCGCTATGAGGATTATACGAACCGATTTTATTATTTTTACTTAAAGTTACAATAGTAACCCATGTAAACTAAGATCAACTGCGATCGGCTGTGAAAATTATCTGCTGAAAGTAAACTTGTAAGTTTGTTTGTCCGAATTTCGCCTTTGTCTTCGTTTTTATGACGTCACGGTTGCGCTGCGCTATTACCTGGTTTTTTTTCAATACTTATTTTTTGTTATTTTATTTGATTAACTTTTCCCGTGAGGGCATGCACGGACAGCACAACAACTTTCACCGATAGGCCGTTTACATGATGGCGTTATTTTACTACCACTACCAAAAGTCTTCGCGAATTTTCTTACTTAGTCAAATYTGTATTCCCTCATGAGAATAGTAAGACAATTAACTGAACAAAAGAAAGAGTTCAAGGGATTCTGGTAGTGGTGGTAAATGACGCTATAATGCAAGTGACCTATTATTCTGGGCGCTGTAGTAATGATAAACACAGGCACTGAAGATGGTCGTCACCGGTGTTTTTAGTGGGCCGTTTACGTCATCAGGGTCATAGCCTGAAGACAGACGTTGCCTATGGTTTGAAGTCCTTAACAGAGAAGACTTTGACGTCTAACCCTTGCAGACGTAATTACAAAGGCAGCACCTTCTTTCAAGACCCTGAGTGTTGGTCTGGTCAGGACTCGAACCACGACCTCCCGCTCATCACAACAGACCGACGCTCTTGATAACTAAGCTAACCRGGTGACGGTTACTGACTTCAGTGGCATCCTTTGACCCTCAAGGGTTTATTTATTGAAAACTCACAACACACATCTGCCTTTGATGAATATAATATGTCCCAACAAGACAAGCGACTCAATATCAAGGTTTTGCAATGAAATCGTTCGGTTTTTTGATCGATGCAATTTTTGTAAAACTTTCATCACTGTTGTAACTATGCAGAACTCACCTCCCATCTGGATGTAGTCGATGCTTTGTCAAACGATACTTCCCAACTCTTACCCAAATCCTGAAAGAAAGGTGCAAAGTTTTACCATTATCCACAAAAATGGCAAGATAAGTTGAACCAGCTCTTCACGCAATCATCATGGGAAGCACTGGGTGGCGTAGTGGAGAGAGCGCTCGCCTCTCATCAATGCTACCAGGGTTAGATTCTCGGACTCGTCGCACGTGAGTAGAGTTGTTTGTTGGTTCTCTCCTGTGCTTTGAGGGTTCACAAAAATCCGACAACTTCTAAATTCTAATTAGATGTAGAAAGGGCCTGGATGAAACTTTACTCTGTGCTAAATATAGTTACCCTATCAAATTGTGTATCTAAAAATWAAAAAAAACTGGTTACACTTTGCAATTGTTGCTGTTACACTTCTTGGCTATTTTCCTCGCAAATTTTCTTGATTTGTTTTGTTCAGGTTGCCTCAAGTGTTGTAAAAAGAGTCGAGTATTTTTGCCATAATTTCGCAACGATTACGCCAATAATATTAAGAACGCCCGCCTGTTATAACACCTCCTCCCCCGAACTTGTCCAGCAAAAAAATGTGAAACAAGTTTTCACCTTTTAGTAAATGATTTTCTATAATTACCTTAAATCTGTCCTTATTTTTATCGATATCAACAGGTTTAGTGAGCTGACAAGATACTTTAATCCTCTCTCCATCTACATTATCCTCGGCGCTATTTGTTCTTGTCATGTTCACCTTTGGACTCCACGCCCCGTTGTATGGCTCTTGTCTACCAACCACTGTGTCTTCCAGTGTTTCTGCAGTCAACGAGCCCTTGGTCTCCGGCAGGAAGATTCTGAGTAGAATAGCAACAATGATGGAGAAACAGCCAAGGACTGCGAGAGGGATTGTAGGGTTGATGGACTGTAGGGACATGATAAGTGGTGTCAAGGCTGCACCCAAGAAACTAGTAGATGTTACGAGACCAAGAGCTGTGCATCTACATTACAAATTAATAATGAGAAAATAATGAGAATAAAAATGGAGAAAATAATAGAGATGAAGCGGTAAGCCGTGTGGGATGGGCTCGGAAATCAATACAAGGCTCGTAATTTACCTATTACGCATGTTCTTAATAGAGAAAGTAATGGGAATGATAAATTAATGGGAAATTTAAAAAAGTAAAGAATGAGCAAATTTTTGTTTTACATATAATCTGCCATGCGCATATGCTAGCTTTAGGATTGCAAACCTGGTGGAGACACCTGTTAATGATAGCAAACGTTCGTAGGTGTTCTACAGTTGATGATCATACTCCCCCTCGAGACAACCGCTGATCAGCAAGCAACGCAGGCTAAGGTATTGGATTTGACTTCTGTCTACATTTGCATTTGCCGTAGTCAAGGTCTCAATAGCATTATCATCAATGTGACCCGGATTGTAATACCGCCGGACTCGGTGTCAAATGTAAGTAGAGTCTCTAGTTGGTTCTCTCCTGTGCTTCGAGGATTTCTCTCCGGGTTCTCCGGTTTTTCTCCCTCTACGAAAATCGTCTCCTCAATTCCAATTTGATCATGAAACGAGGGGAACATAGATTTGTATTCATCCACACAGCTATTAAGCGTTACCCTCGTAAAAACAAGGATGGTTTTTATTTGTATATTCTTACCTGATGATGGTGGGGAACAGTTCAACAGAATATAATGTTAATGAGGTTGTCGACAGAACCACGAAGAAACGCCCAACTAACTGGACCACAAGAGTCACTGTTCCATGCTCTGTAAAAATCACAAAAAAAGTTAAAATCTAAAAAGGAAAAATCTAGAAGTTAAATTCTTTTTTCCCCTCTTCGTATGATACGTTCACATTAAAAAAAAATCTGAAATATTTGATAAGTTCCCCACTCCCATGTCCATGCAGGACCGCAAATAACATGGGCCGCTATAGCCGCCTACTTTTTCCCTTATCCCCTACTAGTCTCTTATATTTTCCAATCTTAGCCCCCACTTTTTCCCAAACTAGTCTCAGTCTCAGTCTCAGTCCCCCCACTTTTTAGGTTGCTCCGCGGCCCCTGAATAAAACAACTCGACTTGCGTACAGGCGCACAGTCCCCACAGAATTCACATTTTAAAGATTCATCCCTCCCCCCTCTCCAAGAACAGTAACTGGCCTAATTTAGATTATTATACTTTCTCGAGCAATCTCCAGCACAGTTCAAAGTAATCTCGTACACAGATCCTGCGTTTCTTCTGGCCGAAAATTCTTCTTCCGAAAATTGCGCATGCCCCAAAACATGCATTATGCAAGAGCCCTAATTCTTCGCCGCAGGCCAGAAGAAACGCAGGCTCTGGGTACGAAATTGAGTTCAAAGCTAAATAGGAAATTGCTCGCCTTAAAACAAGACAAACCTGATAATAGAAAACCATCTGAAGCAAAAGAGAAGATGACACAAATAACACCGGAGAAAATCAAACCAAGAAACGTAGTAATGCGTCGACCAGCACTGGAAGAAAAAGAAAGAAAAATGTACATTATGGTGATGAGCAAAACAATACAGGGTAGGCCATGTAGTTTCTGTTACCATAGATTCTAGGGAAGCACCAGTGGCACCATGCAATAATATGCAGTTCAATTAGGAGGACATAACAATAGGTTTCCAATTCTCAGGAGATTGAAATTCTTTTGTTTTGTCACCTTCAAAATGAGCTTATTTGACGTCACATGCAAGGAGTCTTTTCCTTTGCACCGCTTGGAAAACCGATTTCATTTTGACTGAACAATGCATTTCGCGCCAAGATTCCAATCGCCTAGATAGACAGCGTAACAAACCCCTAGTACACCCATGATAAGTAACAAACAACACTTACCAGGTAACTAGAATCACAGCAAATGCATATGCCAGCAGGTTAACAAGCTCTCTTAGCGCATAATTACTGTAGAAGTTCCCCAGGAGCTGTATGGAGCTGGTGTTTATACCTCGATACAGCATTCCAATCGCGAACCTATCAACAAGAAAAATATGTAGGATGGTTACTAGTGTTTTTTGTTGCTCAGCCTGTTGTTCTTGGCCTCCTGTGAGTACACGAAAAAGTTGGAGCGGACGACGGCGCGCGAATGGAAAAAAATCGTAATTTCTGGTATGTGGAAGAAGAAAAAAAAGGGGATTTTATGCCTTCTTTACTAGCTATCTTGGCCAAATTTGTTATTTGAATTGTAGGTTTTTGGGTGTGCGCGAAGAAGACCGAGCTCATACCATCGTGTCCAGTCCTCCTCGTCTAGTTCTTTAGCTTTTGACGTCCTAAACACCGCCACGAAAAGAGCCACGCGTGCGTGAATCGTCTTTCCTAGAAGGTTGCCTAAACTACTTACCATGTGAGTCCCACAACCACAGCAATCCGACACAGTTTTTTCCTCCGCAGAAATCCATAACATGTTCTTCCATTGGACTGCACACCACAAGACCAAATACTTAAAGACTTTTGATGACTGCTTTGGGTCTCACTAACAAACCTATGCAAGAGGGTCTGAGACTCGTCCTCATCGCTCTGTGATGTTTTTGGACTCGTACTGGACGGCAAAGATTGCAAGAGAATCCATCGGGGAGATTCAGGTATAATACTTAGGACATCAATAGTAAAATGAAATATAAATTTCTAGGCATTTTTTTACATAAAGCAGAAAATCTTATTATACACATGAATGAGTTTCTTACCGACTTGTAATAACCACTATATTCGTCATTACGCAGTTTAAAGAAGTTAGATTATAAAAGGTTATGAAAGCGCAGCGCATAGGTTCGTGGGGTTGCATCCTCGAGGCTTTTGCATTAAGAAATGATGTTGAATGTATGGTTTTCAGAGTAAGCTAATTATAGCTGATAATGCTTTATCAAATCTACGCATTTAATCCATAATCCTCAATGTAATAGTGCCGTGGGAGTTGAATTTGCGAGGGCAAGAAGCGGAAAATTTTCATTTCACCACAAAATGCAGCCAAACGATCCTATGCACTACGAGTTCGTTATCAGTCTTCCTTCTAATTTTGAAAAGACAAGCTGTTAATAACTTATCGTTTTGCTGTTCTAAGTAGCTAACATAGGGGAGATGGGGAACTCCCGTCTTTCAGATTCAAAAGTATGGGGAGGAGAGGTCAATATGATAAAATATTCATAAATTAAGGAGGCTCACAGCCCTTTGGTTGTTTAGATTTTTGAAAATGGCAGAGGCTGATATCCCACAGCTCTGCCATCTTTATGACAATAATGTATCTCGCACTACAAAAAGCATTATTTTATGGAAAACTCATTTACAACAGTGTCATTCACACTGGAAGGATTGTCTTGTGTAAATAAAGGTTATTATAGACCAATGATTTCTTACTTGTATAGAAGGAGCATCAGAACTAAAGGAAGTGTRAGGGTAACCATGAGAATCCTTCTACTGTCAACTATGTAAGCAAGCCCAGAAAATGATATACATGACAAGGTAGATGACAACCAGATAATGGTTAAGACAAATGGCCGTTGACCTGGGTTTACGTACTCTGCCACCAATACAAAGAGAGTAAGGAGGGATCCACCTATTGAAAGAATGAAGATCGTGAATGAAAAATTAATATTAATGACATACAAATGATTTTCTCACATGGCCAGGGGCAATCCAGAGAGGGGCAAAGAGGGGCTGTAGCCCCCTCCTTCAGAACATTGGTTATGTTTCTTGAAGTGGAATAGAAAGTTGTTTTTTTAATATTTTTTCCAAATTATGTAGTTTCATCCACAAATTCTGTCAAGCCCCCTCTTATGTTTTGCCATGTGATCAAGGTCTGTGCCTGCAGAAGAGAGCCTACTAAGCAAGCAGTTGATGTAATGAATTTATAAAAATACAGCATATCACACCTAATACACTACACAGAACGACAATAGAATACAATAGATTTTCTGAATACATTACATCAACTGAGTGCTATGTGGGTTCTCCCATGCCCACAGCAGTGTGGGTACAATATGTGAGTAGAGCTTCTTTCATGACTGTCTTTCTCATTTATCAAGAAAACTGGCCTCCTTTGCAAAAATTCTTCACAATTGCTCAACAAAGTGATAACAATTCATTTTCATTGTTTAGGAAGAGCCAATCACATTCTGTGATCTACCGTATCTTAGTAAAGCAGCCAATCACAGATAGGGGATTTTATTTCTTTTGAAGATATGCAAAGGATGATACGCAACTTTATTTAGCATTCAGTCCCAATGTACAAGGAGATGCTGATGCTGCAGTTAGTGTGATGCATGCATGCATCACAGACTTAAAGAACTGGATGATTAGAGATCGTCTGATGTTAAACGACGATAAGACTGAATTTCTTTTACTAGGTACTAGGCAACAACTAGCTAAGGTAGATATTGATAGTATACTAGTTGGTAACTCATATATCGAAGCAAAACCAGTAGTAAGGAATTTAGGGGCCTAGTTTGATAGCACTTTCAACATGAATACTCATATCAGTAAAGTTTCTGGTGCGGCTTTCTACCATCTGCATAATATCAACCGCATACGTAAGTTTTTAAGTCCAGAGGACACAAAAGCTTTGGTGCATGCATTTGTAACATCACGCGTTGATTACTGTAACAGTTTGTTATATGGTTTACCTGCAAAGCATTTGCATAAATTGCAACTAGTTTTGAATACTGCGGCAAGGTTGGTATGCTGCGCCCCGCAGTTTTGTCATATCTCGCCTCTGATGCGCAAGCTGCATTGGCTACCAGTTAGGTACCGTATACACTTTAAGATACTGCTATTCGCATTTAAGGCCATTCATGGTCTCGCGCCACCGTACATAAAAGAATTGATTTCAATCAAGAGTCAAGGCAACTACAATCTGCGTTCATCTACAGGAATATTGCTAGCTTATCCTAGTTTTCGCACACAGGCCACCTTAGGGGATAAAGCGTTTGTTGCAGCTGCGCCTGCACTTTGGAATGACCTTCCATTTGAATTGCACGCAATAACTGATATTAACACATTTAAGCGTCATTTGAAAACTTTGCTTTTTAGCCTGGCATACAATTAGGTGATTTGAAATATATTATGTAATCCAGAGAGCATCCACAAAGTTGGGACATGATATTATTTTATGTATATAGTTATATTTTTATGATTTTTATTGGTATTTTGTTTAGATTAGTTCCTAATATTATTATGTATGTATGTATATATATGAGTATGTGTGTATGTGTGTATATGTGTATATATGTATATATTTTATTATATATAATTTCGATTGTGATTACAATATTTATTTATATTATAATTTTAGTGAATTAGATTAGATTTATTTTACATCATATATATTGTAATGCGCTACTGATAATTTTATTGAAGCAGCGCAATATAATATATATTAATTATTATTAAGAATTTCTCAAAACAAGATCRCAACCAATTGTTTTGGTCAGAAGTTCATTTTTGGTAAAATTTACTTAAAATCTTAGGTGATGGAATAGTGGATGGAAAAAAACTAAAAAAATTTTGGCTGCAGAGTTGTGGAGTATTTTCATTGTCAATTTCCCAGCCTTGCAATATCATCCTGACTATTTTGTAATGCTTACTAACCTAATGTGAATCCTGCTATTAACCGTATTGGAATGAAGACTGGCATTGATCGTATAAACAAAGCACCTAGCAGACTAGCAATAAATAAGAGTGCCAGGCAGATGAAAAGTATCTTTTTCCTGCCATATCTGTCGGCAGCTATCCCAAGTGTTAATGCTCCTAAAAGTATGCTGATGTAATGTGTAGTTACAAGGACTGTTCCATATTTCACAAAGTCAATCTGAAAGGAGAAAAGAAATAGAGGATATTACATGGGCGCNCAACCTCTGCTTGATTTCAATAGGCAGATTTCAATGCGTTGTTAACCTATTGTTGTAATTATGGAAGTGAGAAATGTCTTGACCGCTTACTTYGTGATAAAGTTAATTGAACGATTGAATAGAAACGAAACCAGCCAATGAAATTTGTTATTTTAAAAAAGTTTCGATCCGACCGCGTAGTATTAAAGCAAGTAGACATTAAGGATGATCACTTAATCTTAAAGAAAAACTGAGTTTACAGCTAAGCGAATTTGAGTGACAATTTATTATGGAAAGTGAAAAGTGTATCATTTGTGAGTTACCTGTTTCTGAAAGTGATGATGCTTGGTTCATTGGTYGGTCAAATGGTGGTATTGGCTGTTGGCAACATGGAACCTGCACAAATGATGACTTGAGTGGTAAGTGTTATTTTGGATGCTACTTCATTTCTTTCTTTTCGAATTTGTTTTGTATATATATATATTGATCGGTGGTTTTATTTACTTAACACTCTGAATGTGCCGACCAAGATCGAGTAACCGATTGGACTGACGCAGAAACCAGTGACATCCCAGACAGCATTTTAGGTTAATATTTTTCCTTATAAGCTTAGGTGCTATTCAAAATAATTACAATTTATTACTCCAGCCTCTTGTCAGTTTTCTCATTTCGTTTTCATTCTTTTCAGATGCCCCTGCACAAGGAGATCACGTCGTGAATGAAATTGGGGAGTCGACTTTCGAAGAGGCCAGCCGACTTGATGAAAGCCTTTATGACGAATCAGTGGTAGGCACTACGTACGAAGTAGTTGAAGCCGGTAGTAAGAGAAGTGGACGGAGACTAATAGACAATCTTGGTTTCACATACAACGTGCGATCTAAGCGGACGTATGCAACGTATTGGCAGTGCACGGTACGCCCAAAAGGCAACCAGTGCAAGGCCACTGTCATCGAAAGAGAAGGTGTGTTTACCCAGGGACTTGGTGTACATAATCACCCGCCTCAATCAGGAACCTTGCTGGCAACCAAGATAGTAAAAAAAGTGAAGGAAAAGGCTGTTGAAGAGAAGTTTAAATCCGCCAAAGTAATTGTGGAAGAGGTAACTTTGCTAAACGCATATATTCTCTTCTTACAGTGTAAACAATATTAATTTCCCTTGCTTTTTCTTTCTTTCTAGGTTCTTCTAAATGAGTTAACAGACAGTCCCTGCGAAGCCCTCCCAGCACCAGAAAACATTGCTCAAGCAGCGAATCGTCTAAGAAAGAGCCTGCGACCAGCTGATCCCAAAGACCTGATGGATYTTGAATTGGATCTCCAAGCACTTCCTCAGGAATTCCTTCGAGCTGACATCAAACTAAGGAATCGTCGGCACTTGGTGTTCGCCTCAGATGCCCAACTTCGATTCCTATCATCTGCAAGGACGTGGTATATCGATGGTACATTTAAAGTCGTCCGTCGGCCATTCACTCAGCTCCTATCCATAAATGCCTTCGTCAAATCCGGCGACAACGCAAAACAGCTTCCCCTGGTTTTTGTTGTTATGTCGGGAAAGAAGAAGAAGGATTACAAAAAGGTATATCAGATTGTGAAACACAAACATGACAAATATCGTCAATGATTGACTCGAACTAAACATATT